CCTAGATGTCTGGAGTTTTCTCTGAAGGAAACAAGGCACCATGGAGAGTTCTGGCTTCTCTTTCGGAGGCTGACCCTGACTTCTCTATGAACAGACTACGGGCCAGAAAGTTCTGGGGACTTGGAAGCAGGGAGAACACTTGGGAAGCTCCTGCAATAGTCCAGGTAGGCAATGTCAATGGAAGACTGGATTCTGGATACATTCTCAAGGCAAAGCCAATACGATGTGCTAATTTAAAGTGGAATATGAGGAAGGAACAGAGTCAAAGGTGACTCGCAGGGTTGTGGCCTAACTGGTAGCATGGACGATGCTGAATTGGGGGAGAAGCCGAGGAAAAGGGTGGAAAGTCTTTTCCAGTGGCCAGGTCTGAGGACTGCTACCTCACGGTGCTCCCAGGGCTGGCCTTGCCCACGGTGGGCTCCTCTCTCTCCACCGTCTCATCCCTTTGTCTCTGTAGACCTTGAGCCAGTGGGGGTTCCATCGGCACAGCCTTCCACCTACCCATCCCTCTAGCTGCCCAACCTACCAATAACCCGCCTTTCACTCTGTCCCTTTTCCCTTTTCTTTCCTTCGCTAAGAACAGCCACCTTCTACTGAATGCTCACCACGCATGCCATGCACTTTCTATGCAGTAGCTTGCTTCCTCTTTGCAACAATCTTAAGAAACCGGGGTCTCATTTTAGTTCAGGTGACTAGCCCAGGGACATATACCTAGTGATTGGCAAGGCCAGGGTTCAAACCCATGCCTGTCTGGCTCTGGAGTCCCCCCTTAACCAGGATGCCCCGCAATCTCCAGCCTGGAAGTGGCTCCCTCCTGGTCTGCCATCTTTCTCCACCCTGCACCCTTTTCCTAATAAGGCTCCCTTCAGACTTCAGTGCTCTCAGCTGGGGTCCCCCTGACAGCCCCAAACCCCACTGTTCCTTCCTCTCTCAGAGGAATGTTAACCAGGATTCTCCTGCCGTGGGATCTTTTCCTCTCCCCACTCTCCCAGGACCCTGAGACCCTTCACCGCCTCTTCCAGCCAGAGAGGGGAAGGCGAGTCAGCTACAGGGCTTGGGGGGTGGGGGTGGGGGGGCTCTGTGATAGGACCCCACTGCCTCTGCACAGGCTCCTCCGCAGAAAAGAGAACAGAGGCGGATGCAGCCCTTGTGCCCAGACTCTGACTCTGGGTCCCTGGAATGTCCTGTCTCCTAACTCAGCCTCAGTGGGCACAGATGCCAGAGGCCTGGGGCCTTGGTGGTGGGCAGGGACACTTCGAATCAAAGTTCCCTCTTGCGCCATCTCGCTGCCTCCAAGTGCTCTGAGGAGGCTGCTTGTGCAGACAGGGAAATAGAGGCAGAGTTCCCATGACTTCCTCAGTCACCCGACTGAGAGGTCACATAATTGTCTTAAGGCGGGTGTCCTGTGTTCCCGCCTGAGCCCAGAACATCCTGACTCCAGGCTTTCCATGTTTGCGAAAGGAAACCAAGGAGCTGTGAGAACTCCATGGCCTCGCAGCCACATCTCCACTCCCCTAGGCCCGGAAGGAGGGCAGGTCTGTTTGCTCTTCTGCAGGTAACTAACTGCCTGAGCAATTCTTCCTGCTGGGCCCTGTGGGTATTTGCCTGGAAGGTCCCATCTCGCGTCTGTTACCTGTCTGTCAAAGCCGCTAAGTCCTTCTTCAGGGTGTTTTTCTGCACAAGCTGCCACTTCTCCTGCCCAGGAGGTTTCTGCTCCATCAAACGCCTTCCCGCCCTCACCCCACCCAGGGCACAGAGCACCTGCCTGATCAGACTCGCAGACCGAGGAGCAATGGATTCAGCTGGCATCTGGGGTGAAGCAGAGCTCCAGACAGCCGATCCGGATGATGTCCCAGGGGCAAAAAAAAAAAAGTCAGGAGCCATGTTCTGAGATGAGACCCAAGATGGAGGCGGCTGTTAGCCCTGCTTGCAAAGTCTGACACGAGCGAAGCCACAAAGCCTGGCTTCCTGGTGCTGCTTCCCCGGAGCAGTCAAACCCTTCCAGCTATCGTCCTGGGAAGTCGGTAAAGGGCCCCACCCAACCCTTAGATTTTGTTGCAAAAGGAACAGTTCTCCTTAAGCTAAGGGAGCTCTACTTTGGGGGAGAGGTTGTCTGGGCAGTTACTTTTCCTTTCAAGCCTGAGTTTTGGAGTCAGCAGCCCTGTAATGAAATCTTGTGTGACCAGAACAAGTCATTACAATCATTGAAGCCTCAGCTCCCTTACCTGCAGAATAGGAACACTGTGCCCATCGTCCTGGGACTGCGGGGGACTGGGCTGGGCACACAGTGGGTGCTCACGAAATGGCAGCTGTCGTTCTCCACGTCACCGGAAGGACGGCAGAGGCAGGCGGTGCTGCCTCTCTGGCCCCGAGATTCCTGATCTCAGCCTGCCCTCCAGGTCCACAGATGGCTCCCTGAGTGACAGGGCGATAATTCGTCCCTCCCGTGATGAAGGGCACACGCTGCTCCCGTGTGCTCACCTCTGGCGGGAGATGTTCGCCACATAAACGCCAGCCTTCATTTGTAAATTCAGAGGGACAAAAACACCTCCATCCCCATCCTGCCTTCAGCCACCTGTTCGGTTCTTTTCACCCAAACTCAAGACCTTTGTGGTGTTTCCGTGACAGGGATTGGCTGCCAACCTTGCTGTTCCCTTTGGGCAGGAGAGCCAAGCTCCCTCCCCTCTCTCCCTTTGTCAGAGACCACCCAGTGGACCTTGCTGGCAAGCTGCCAGCGTCCAGACAGGCGAAAGCGAGGCCTAACCACGCAGCCTCCATCCCCGCAACAGAAGGCTACAGAGCCCAGAGCACCTGACTGAGGGGCTTTCACCTGGAGCTGACGCAGCCCTCCCGATGGCGGACCACCAAGGGCGGCGAGGGAGGGCTGCAGGTGACTGCTTCGAGGGCCTGCGCGTTGCAAGAGCCATTAGAATCTAACACGTGGCTGTAACACCGCAGATTTTTATATAACTCGCTCACTACAAAACATCCATTCATAATGACAGAGGTACACAGCTGTGAATTTCCATCACTTCATGTGGGCTCACTGTGCTGACGGACTGCATTATGAAACCCCCTCCGCGTGGGCACAGGTACATAAAAAGGAAGGGCCACACTCACACCACTGTGGGGGCATCGCCTTCCGACAGAAAGCAGAGAGAGAGTCATGTGGGGGAGAGGACTTGTGAAATAATTAGGAGCAGCGTCTGCTTTCACAGAAAAGTCGTAAAGCCAGAACCCCCCAATTTTCCTCTCCCATTAAGTGTGACCCATACCTAATAAACCTGCTGGAACTGTAATGCGAGGTAAGTTCAGACTAGTAAAGGCACTGGACTGGGACGAATCTGGAAACATATTGGCAGAGCCAGGGAAGGTGGGGGAGGGCTCTCCTCAAGCATCCAGTTCCAGCCCAGCCTGGGGGCCTCCAAGGCCAGCCGGTTCCAGACACTCCTCCTCTTACCTGCAACTCCCATCCTGTGCGCAAGTTACCTCTCGGCAGCCAAGGAGGCTCCTGGGCAACTGCAGGGCCCAGTGGCTTTTATTTGTCCCTAAAATTAATGTCCCCTCACTTGCTGCTCTGGGAACAATTTCAGAGCCAAGCAAACCTACCCTGGACAGCAGAGCCATGGGCAATGGGACTGGAAGGCAAAAAGCCAAACTCAGGCCTGTGTTTCTAGAATTCTCAGCTAAAATCTGACACGGACAAGGAAAGAAAAGGCATATTTCTCCTTTTCGCCCTGAAAGGTATTCAGTAACTGGTTTTAGAAACGTGTCTAGTACTCACATTTCTGAGATTCTGTATCAATGCAGAGATTCTAGTTTTGAACTTTCCTAAAATTAAACATACACACACACACAAAACTACTCTGAACTTGACATCTCCTGTGTCAAGAATACTTCAGCCCGTAGTCTGCAAAGGAAAGGTAATTTTTCAGGGAAAAAGTCATGAACAACAGGATGAGCAGAGGTGAAGGAACAGCGGCACCGCCCGCCGCTCTGTGCCTGTGAGACGCGGCCTGAGAGGCTGGCAGCCTTTCTCACCGGCCAGTCCGCGAGCTGGGACGCTGGAGCGTGGGTCCCACTGCTCTGCATTTCCCTTCCCGTCAGTAATGGGATCTGAACAGCCTGGGCTCAGGTTCACAGCAAGTACACAGTCAAAGCTTGTGGAGGGGATGAAGGCTCCAGTCTACACACGTCATCCTCCTCCTCTTGTCCAAGGCTGTCCAAACTCATTTCAGAGGAGAATAAACATTCCTTTGCCACACTTGCTGCTGCTCAGCTCTTTCTGCGTTCTTTTTAAATTCGATCCTACTTACCCTGGCCATATTGTGTGTTTTCCTGCTACTTACTAACCAGGAGGACCAGTTGAGACTTTCCTCAACATTTTCTCTGGCAACCGAGTTAAGTTGACTGTGTATTATTGGCTCTGATCTTTCTCCTATGATTTCCTCTTACTGCCCGAGAATCCTGTCCTGAACATCAAAGGCCTTCTTTGAAGATAAGGCCAAATTCACCATTAGGAAAAGAGAAATTATTTCCTAACTTTATTTCAGAAGATGGAATGACACAGAATCCCTCTGGGTTTTGTGAGATAAACACTGCCCGGGACATCGGATCACAAGGCATTCGCTGTAATACCGCTGACAGAGACATAAACACAGGGCTTTCCTCGCCCAAACCTAAGCAGGACTTTTCCACAGCGGCCTTAGATGCCAAATCCCATAATAAATGGTCTGCATGCAGCATGTCCAGGAGTGTGCCTCAGGGAAAGGGGGCTTCATGTGGCCAGCCCGGGGGATGGAGGCCACCACAGGCTCTGACTAAAATGTATCTGAGTCACACTAGGACCAACTGTTTAGTCCAGTCCCACTTCAGTTGGATCCTTCCAATACCAAATGAGGAGAGACATTCCATCTTCAAGTGGCAACACAAAACATGAAAAATGATGGACCCCGCAGGCCAGAGATGCTAGCAGCTAGACTGTGGGCAGGAAACCTCACCTGTTTCTTCTATTTCGTTGCTGCTGCCATCATCTGGTGTGAGTGTCGACAAGACTTCATGGGTCATGGGTTTCCGGAAGCTTGTGCTGGGACTGAGGAAAAAGAGAAGTGTCTCATCTTTTGAACAAGCAGATAAACAAACACTTCTGAAGTATTTGCTTTTTATAAGGAGCATTGCTACAAACCAGGGTGATTCCTTGTTAATCCATTTTATGCATAAGAAAACAAAGAAAAAGCAGTTTTTCTAAGATCAGAGGCTTCCTTCAATCTCCAGTTACCTGGCTCCTTGCTAGAAATGGAGAGAAAAATGGATGAAGGACAATGACGGCATTGAAAACAATCTGTTGATCTTACAGAACCATTACCTGTGCATCCAGCATCCCCTTTTCATCAATATTCCCCAAATATCTCTCAAAAGCACATTATCAGCTGGCTTCATACAAAGTAAGGTGGGTTTCCTGGGAAGAGGTTTGGGGTAAGGCAGTAAGCAAGAAATGGACCCGGCAAAGTCCAGGGCCAGAGACTGCCGGGCCAGGCTGGAGCAGAAGGCTCCTAGGGAGGGGCCATCACCATGCAGTGGGACGGAGCCACCTATGAGAGGGCTAAGGAGTTTGGATTGTAAACTTTGACTGTTTTTGAGCTGGGTGGTGACTTGTTTGTAGGACTGATGGGAGATGGGTGGGGTAGACAGTGGAGAGTCCAGCCATGTGTCAGCAACAACTGTGATGGGCATGAACAAGTGTGGAGGGAGCAGGACTGGAGAGATGGTGTGGATGGTGGAATAATAAAAGGAAGAGCAGGAAAGACTAGATGAGCTTGGGAGGGGAGTCTAACTCAGAGGCAGTGGAGATGCAGAGATCTGTGCTCAATGGTTTGAACCAGTGTGAATGGAGTCCACAGGCAGAGCCAAGGCCCCAACCCAAGTTTCCTAATCCTCAGGGCAGTGCCACTTGAGCTGCATCTTTTAAGCCTTGCTTCCAGTATTGCTCCTCCCTTTCTCTAATCATCACCACCCTGAGGGGTCTAAGGAGGCACAAGCCCTATTGAGGAAGGCTTTTGGTAAACACGGATTTCTAGATTAAAAGCAAACACACTCTTCATCCCACCCCACCCCCACCCCGCCCCCAAATATTTAATGTAGCCTCATAAATGACGAAAAGATTACATGTGAGGGCTTCATATGGGAGCACTCTTAGGATTTGGTCGTTCCCACCAATAGCAAAAGGACTGGACATATCTGTTTTCTGAGTCTTTGGTCAAAAACATAAGAGAAGCTTCAGGGCTGTCACAACTACGTGAAAAGTATTTATGCACATGGATGAAGAAACACAAGTTGTATTATAGCATGGGATTGTGGGTAATTTTCAAAAAGTTTCTTTATTAGTAGATGCTTGTGCAATAATTAAAAATGGGGGCGGGGCTAGTTTGGAGAATCACCCTTGGACTAAGAAAGCTTATTCTCCTGGGACAAGATGCTCTCAGCCCTGGGTCTGATGTACTATAGATGCTATTGTACTAAAGTATTGAGATGACAAGAAGTTCCATATATTAAAGTAAACAGATTTTTAAAAATCTAAAAAATCACTTTCTTTTCTCTCCCTCTCCAATTTCCATTTCCCCTCTCTTTCTTATTTTTCCTGACAGCAAGAAAGTTTGGAGTTTGAAGGAAAGAAAGCAAACTCCAGAGGCATAATACTATCTTTTGGTGCCAGGTGCCAGGTTAATACTTTCTTATTCAGAGGCCAGAAAGTACTGGATAGTAATTATCTGGGTTTTCTTTGGTTTCTTCTCACTTGTTTGAAAGACAAAGAGGGAAAAATCCTTATTCATGAATCATATCAGTGTCTTCACTGAAATCTGAACCCAGACCCTCCTAGGGTCTGTGAAAGACTGTGACCAGCAGGCTCACTTCTCACCCTCCTTGCTTAAACCCTGGGGTTCCCTCAGGAAGTCGACGGAATTGTTTCGTGAGTAAAATCTCCTACTCCTTCTTAGGGCATGGAAACCACAGATAAGTTGCTAAAGAGGGCTGGAAGCCCAAACACTTGAAAGAACAGTTCAAAGTCAGGAAAATCTCTGGACCCAAATTTGTAGGAGGATGGAAAGGAACATAAATCACCCTCTTATCACAAGTTGGCCAACCAATCAACAGCTCTCTGCTGATTTTAAGCCTTGCTTCCGGTATTGGTCCTCCCTTTCTCTACCATTACCACTCTGAGGGGTTTGAGGAGGCAAAAGCCCTATTGAGGAAGGCTTTTGGTAAACACGGATTTCTAGATTAAAAACAAACACCCTCCTCATCCCACCCCTGACCCTCTTCTTCCCAGACTTGGTCCTTGGTCAAGGAACCAATCATCCTGTCCTCTATCAACCTCCTCTCCCAAGTAAAGCCAACTCCAGTGGCTTAGGCAATTCTCTTAAGAAAATGTCTCTCCCAATGTTACTCTCTGAGATCTCCTGAAAGAGGATAAAAGGGACAGTGTCTGTCGTCTCAATCCTCAGAATGTCTACGTAGGTGTAGACATTCTCTAGCCACCTGAAGGGCCAAACTCTGGGTGACAGATGGGGGCAGACAGGGTCAGCAAAGAGGCACAATAAGGCAACGCCTACTTCTTTCATTTTTACCTCTTTCCATAAACTCAAAGACTCATCTGGCAGGAAAATCATAACTCCACTGCTGTTCCCTCCCTGCCTCTATCCCACTGACCCCAAGGTGCTTCAGGATTACCATGGGAACCTTCTGGGTTTCAATTACCAGACCATTAAAAAGTGCCAATTATAAGACCTCAGAAACGTTCCTGGGTAACCTGTTAGACACCTCAAAATGGCCACGCTGCTGCCTCAGAGCACTTCAAGTAAAGTTTAGAAAACAGGTCCCCCAGATGTACTGAGCCCTCCAGCCCCCACCCCAGTCCAACAAGACCCTGTTTTAATATTGTCTATACTGCCCTTGAGAGAATAAGGATTGATTTATTAGCTGTAACCAGAGGGGTGAAAAAACACACAAACCCCATCACAGAGCTGGGCTGCCGACTCAGGGTCCAGTTGTGGGATAAATCAGAAATGTATGTGCATTCAAGAATTTTGAAAATGACATTCGTTCAATGGCCAATGTTTGCAAAGTTCTGGGCAACAGAGAACTAGGTGACAAATAGGAGCTGGGTAAGGGCACTGGGGGTGGCACAAGGGCCTGACACCAAAACATGCTTTTCACTCAGTCCACTCAAGGAGGTTAACTCTGGGCCAAAAACATGTGAGCCCATCTGAACCAGCTGAGAAGGGATGGGGGAGGGGCGGAACGCCCCACCACACCCAGAAAGTGCCTGTTTAGGACGGCTGGTGTGCGGTTTGGGTATTCTTAGCTTCACTGCCACATCTCTGGAGCGACACAACAACCATTCAAGTAACCCTGCCACTGCCATCCCCATCCCCAAGACAAAACTCAATAAAACAAATCTTCAATTCCTCCGGTCTGTCTGCTCACCACCCCTCAAAATTCTCCCATCACCTGGAAGAGCAAACTAACCTCGGGCATCCTGAAGGGTTTAGCAGGGCCTTCAAAACCCAGGCAGAAAATTCTTCCTAGGTTCCTGGCCCCTCCCCACAGCCCCTTCCCACTTGTTCAGCGGTTCATTGCCCCACCTTCTCACAGTTATACAAACAAAAACTCCAAGAGCACAACCCCAGGAGCACGCTGCGCGCGAGCGCGCGCACACACACTCCCTTTTACTGCTGCCCCAACCCCACAGACACCTCTGGACACCCCGCTGCAGCCTCGTCCCTTCCACCCCTACAGCTGGGGATGCTCATTTTAAACGCCAATGCCATAAACCCTCACCCCCGAAAAAGACCAAACTGGTGTTGGGTGGTTCTGTGTATTTGTCAATCCCATGTGGGCTTCTCCCCATGTGGGTTTCTCCCCGTGGTCCGGCGCACGGAGCCAGAGCACTGGTGTCAACCTTCGGGGGAGTTTGGAAGGCTATCCCTGCGCCTCCTCCACCCCAGGAGCTTCCGGGAGCCACCGGCCAGCCCGCACCGCAGGGAACAGGGAACGACATGCGGCGCCCCAGGCACCCCCCCGCCCGCCGCGTCCCCACTCCTCGTCCCCGCGCCGGTGCGCCCCGCCTCGGCCGCAGCCACCGCCAGACCCGCGCGGGCCGAGCGCTCGGACCCGCTCCGGCTCCCCGCGTGTCCCCATCAGCCACCCGCTGGCGCTTCCTCGGCTTCGCTGGCCTGCGGTCGCCTCCCGCCCCCTCCCTCCCCAAACCAACAAATAAACACAACTTTTTATGAAAAGAAAACAAACTTCAGCGACGTGACTCACCTCTGGTGCAGCCGGCTCCTGGGAAGGGAGAGCCGGCCCGGGGCCAGCGTGGTGAGCGCGGAGAGAGCCCCACAGCCCCGCACCGCGCGGACACGCAGCCCGCACAGTGACACGCAGCAACGCGCAGCACCGGAGAGCGGCCGCGGCGGGAGCAACAAAGGAGCCCGGAGTGCGGGCCGGGAGCGAGGGCGCGTGCGGGCGCGTGCGGCTGCGGCGGGCGTGATTGTGAGTGAGTGTGTGTGTGTGTGTGTGTGTGTGTGTATGTGTGTGCGCGCGCGTGTGAGTGTGTGTGCGCGCGCGCGGCTGACACCGCGGGCCGGGCTCAGGGTCCCCGCGGCAGGAAGCGGGGCCCGCGGCGGCGGCAGCAGCAGGACAAGGCAGGGGACGCCGCGCCGGGCGCACCCGGTCCCTCCATATGGAAGAAGCTTTTTTGGATGACTGAACTCGCAGACAATATCTTCTTTTGCTTCTCCTGCCTAGGAACCTCCCATTACCGCGCGAGGCGGAGGAGGGGGGCCGAGAAGGCGGGGAGGAGGGGGAGGAGCAAAATGGAGCAAAGAAAACGTCTTGGAAAGGAAGCTGGGAAAAAAAAAGTCTCCCAAACTCAGTTTTCCTCCTAACACCCATTTTCTTTCTGTTGCGCCTTCGTCTCGCGCTTCCCCCAACTCCTCTCTTTCCCATACAAATGGGATGTCCTCTGCCTTTCGCCCACACCCGCGGGCTCCCCTGGACACCCACTTTCTCCTTAGCTTAACCTGGGACCCTTGCTCTCATAGGCTATCCTCCTCTCTCCAGTCTCTTCTCCCCAAGCTTTTTTCTGACATCCCTCCCTCCTCGAAATAGTCTCTCGTTCATGCTGCAAACTATTGACTAAATCATTAAAAGCAAACTTTTTTTTTATTAAACTTGCCCCCCCCCCCCCCCGCCCCAAAATTCGTTAACAACTGTGGGGAAAAAGATAAGGAAACCAGTCTTGGGGAAAAACCAAGGGCACCTCCCCGGAACCCCCCCCCCCCCCCCCCGGGGATTGGAGAGGGAAGGTTTGTCCTCCTCCTTTTGGGGGCCCCCCGCCGTGACCCCTTTTCTTATCCCAGATTAAAGAGCCAGGGGAGGGGGGGGAGGAGGGAGCCGGCAGACTTTCTAAGAAAAATATTTCCGGCGGGCGAGTTGGGGGTTAAAGACCTCCCTTGGTTGGGGGGGAGAAAAAACAGGGAAGAGTTGCTAAACTTTGGTTTTGTTTAAGTCGCAAGGGGGGTGAGTTAAAAAAACTTGGGGGGAAATACCCAAGATTTGGAGGGAAGAAGTCGGGGGGGGTCCCGCGGCGAAATTTTATTTTTTCGAAAATTGCCGGTGTAGGGGGCGAAGGGGGGGGAGGAGG